TGGTGGATCTGGAGCAGAAGCATGGGGTCCAACAGGGGCCGGCTGTTGGCTGAATGGCAATGGGACCAGGCAGCCTGTAACCCTGGCCACTCAGGAGGCTGCACAGGAAGTCTGGGATACAGCGACTCTGCGGCTATCTGTGCCAACTTTGCAAGATCCTGCCTCAAAATAAAAAGTAAAAAGCAAGCTGGGCATGTGGCTCTGTGATCGAGTACTTTGTGGAGCATATGCACAGACCCAGGTTCAAACCTCAGCACGTGCATTGAGGGGGGAGGAAACTGACATGATGGCTTTGGCCCCTCTCCAGCCCCTCCCCCCTAAATTCCCCCCCCCCCCCCCGCAAGCCTCAGGGCGCATGCAGGGCCTGACCTCAGGCATTTAGGTAGAGTTAAGGCTGGACCCATGGCTGCCTACCACAACTGCACCCTGTTCTCAGAAGGCTGCCGGTTTCCCACTCTGCTCTCTGCTCCTCAGTCTTCCCTCCAGGAGGGAACGAGGCCTGGAGTAGTGGACCACAGACCCCTTTCAAGTAGACACAGCCCTGGCTTGGAGGAGGAGGATCAGACTCCACTGAGCCCTCAGGCTTTGTCTGCTAGAGCAAGGCTTTGGGCTCCCCGCATTTAATCCATTCAATCGGAGTTGCCTTCAGAACTTCCACTGTTCCCCAGGGGCATCAGGCACGGGGCTTCCCATTCTGACAGGCACGGGAGTCCCTGTGAGCCAGAGAAAGGATGCATCCTCTCTCCCAGCTCCACGTTCACCGCCAGAAACTCTGTGCAGAGGTCCACTGTGGGTGTGGGGACCCTCTCCACTCTCCACCCCTGCCGTTCACCTGTCTCTGCTTGGCACGGGGTGGGAGGGAGGACCTGACTCCCGTGAGTGCTTGGTGACACCCAATCTGTGACCAAAGGAGCAGGAAGAGGGTGGGCTGGGAGGGGGCAAGTGTGCACACCCCTGTGAGTTAGACTAGGAGCTGGAGAGGGTGCCAAGGGCAATGTAAGTCACAGGCATTCAAACATTACTGCCTGCTGTAAATGGGAGGGCACGGTGAGTGCCGGGCGCCAGTGAAAGGTGCTGTGCAGAGTGTGATGCTGTCCCTTCCTTCTCCCAGAGCCCTCCATTATATTTCCAAGAGCCCCACTCTACCATGGGATAGGGATGGATCACCAGGTGGGGAGGATTGAGTCCAGGCAGCTGGGTGTCTGGATACAGGGGGTTTCTACAAAGGTAAAGGGAACTGTGTCACCGGCTCTTTGCAGCTTACAGTGTCACTGGGGAGAACTAGGCGTCCCTGGTCTTGGACCACAGCCATGGACCTCATGTGGGCCCTAAATTGCTTCCCAAGTCACTTCAAGGCTAGAGCCCTCTCCCTCCCCCTCCCTCCCTCCTGTCCCCTGTAACGCCTGAATTCTCAAGCTCCTGTTTCACTGAGCAATCCCTAGGGACACAGAAGAAGCAGACCTGTGTGAATGGCACATCTCTTCATCTTCCCAGTTTCAGAACCTGTATCCTTGGATGTCCCTCAGAAAAAAGCCAACCCCTCTGAGCTGCAGAGCCCATTCCCTTGCTCCCATGTAAGGGCCGGCTTCCTCCTGTATTACTACATTTTCTTTCAATACTGTATGCCGGCATATGTATCTGTTTGTGTTATTTTAAAAGCCTATTTATTGTGTCTCACGGTGGGCTTAAAGTAATAGAATCTGCGCCCTGTATCATGCCTTAATAAATACGTTGCAAACCCAGGAGCCAGGCTTAGCTGTCTGGAGGGCTTAGCTGCTTCTCAAGCCTGTGAAACGCTGGCTGTCCTGGAATTCACAGAGGTCCGCTTGCCTCTGCCTCCCAAGTGCTGGGACCAAAAGGGTGGGCCACCATACCTGGCAAGTGCCAATTTTTAAACTCAAATATTCTAATGCAGCACAACCTGAAGGCATGCTAATTTGACACTTACAAGTTGAGGAATGACAACAGAAAAGAATATTAAAAGTACTTGTTTTCTGTAATCAAACACTTACATTTCTATAAGAGCAGGAATTGTATGTACAGTGTAAGCAGCACAGTTCACCACGCAATTTTCTCAGATCTGAACAGAAGTGTCTTCGGCAGTGGTGTCGCCTGGCCTGATAGCATGTACAGGGCAAAGTGGTCACATGATACAACGTGGTCAGCTGCTGGCAGAAGCACCTTAGCTCCTCATGCATTGACTTCAAGTTAATTTTCAACCATTGCTGCTTCAGAGCCCTTTTACTGTTGCCAAATTGTGTATAAGTTTATTTACTTTATTTGTGTTTGAGTGTTCTGCCAGCATTGTCTGTACATGTGTCACTTGTGTGCCTGGCACCCTTGGAGTTCAGAAGAGGGCATTTGACCCTCTGGGACTCCAGGATGGTTGTGAGCCACCCTGTGGATGCTGAGAGCCAAATGTACCTGTTGCCAGTGTGTGTGTGTATGTGTGTGCGTGCGTATGTGTGTGTGCATGTGTGTGTGTGCGCGCGCGTGTGCGTCTGTGTGCATGTGCGTGCATGTGTGTGAGAGCATGTGTGTGTGAGTGCATGTGAGTGTGTGAGAGCATGTGTATGTGAGTGCGAGTGTGAGTGTGTGTGTGCATGTGTGTGCGTGTGTGTGCGTGTGTGTGGTGTGTGTGTGAGTGTGTGTGTGTATGTGAGAGAGAGAGAGAGAGAGAGAGAGCTCCCATATTCAAGTTATATGGTTCCCACCATTGATTCCATGATTCCATATGAAAGTTACAACCCGTAGAATAAGAACCTGGGACCCAGAGTGGTACCTGTGGCCAGTGTTGTGGGCTCTAACAGCTGTTTTCATACTCCTAATAACATACTAACTCTTTAGTAAAAGACTCAAGTTTTTTACATTTTTTTTTATTTCAATCAAAAAGATACTTGCTGTAAGGCAACGTGATATTCTCTTCTTAATTAGATTTGTATTCAGCCAAATCTACTGATGATGCTCCTACCAAACAGAGGTAGGAACAGATGCCCCATCTCCTGTGAGAACCATTATAGCAACAAGAGCACCAGAATCCCCCCAGACCGTGGGCTTTAGCCATCAACTTGGCCTGTGTGCAGTACACAGCCACCCAACCAGACACTTAGAGGTGCATGATAGATGTGGTTGACACCTACAGTCAGTCAGCCTTAAGAGATTGCCCTTGAAAGTGTGGGTGGGATGCATCTTCTTAGCCGTAGCGTGGAATGGAGTTTGGAGAATAAGAAATTTTGCCTGGGGAGCTTGCTCCTCATGAACTCTGGTCTGATGGCTAAGGTTTTCAGACCAGCAGCTCCCACAGCCAACAGTTGTGTGACCAATCCAATCCTTAGAGTACCCTCTCCCCCCTCATGCCGTGCCTCCCCACCTCACAATGACCCTAACCAAAGGTCACCACGGGAAGGTCCCTGAGTGATGTGAGAAGGGCCCTTGGCGGGGAAGGAGACGCGGTGAAAGCGTCCGAGTTATGCAACATCGGGCAGGGTCCATGAGAGGGGGTGCCGGGATTGGTGACAGTGGGGGCGTCGTTCCAGCACATGTCACTGAAGACAAGGTATAACCCAACATCCCGTTACATTTTCCTGTGCTTCTGGAACATTCTGCTCCATGAAGTCATAGCTTTGGACTAAAGAGGGTGCAGTGAGGGAGGGTCTGGCCAGAGTGGTGCACATTGCTTAGGGGCACAGGGGCAGGCTCCTCTGGGGACATTCGTGTCCCCTGTCCACGTGCTGGTGTACTCTGGGCTTGCTCAGTGACTGGGGGTAGCTAACTGCTTCCTCTTTTATTTCCGGCATGACTCAGGCCACCAATGAGAGCAAAGCCCCTAGCTGCCTCGCTATCTGAAAATTCAGCAACCCGCCCCCTGCCGCCTCTTTAGTTTGATCTTTTATAAACTGTGATTCCGACAGAGCTCTCCAGTGGGTTCTTCAGAGGCTCTGCTGAAGTCCAGGAGCCTGAAGGCACCCTACGATGGTCGTCTGTCGGGCTCTTAGGAGGCTGAGGAGATGAACTGTAGATGGACCTCAGTGGCAAGAGCTATGGTCATTGGAACTCCTAAACTGCGAAGGACCAGGTAACTCTTCCTCTCTGCACACCCAGTGTGTTAGTCAAGCATGTCAGAGAGACAGAAACAACTGTTGGTGTGTGTCTGTACAGACGGAGGGAGGTTTGCTTTCACTAGTGGGGCCACGCCATCATGGCGGTACAAATCCGACACCCACTGTGGGGGCTGCTAGTGAGGAAAAGCTTCCATGGGTCTCCTCCTTCCTTCCAAGAGGCCAGCCCTTGGTTGTCAAAGCCTTTCAATAAATGCATTATGGACAATGACTGGCTATACTCAAAAGTCTATTGACTTAAACGCAGTCTCATTAAAAAAAAAAAATCATGGAAACATCTCGAATGAAAGATGTCTAAGTGTAAAGGTACCATGGCCTGGTCAAGTTACACAAAATTCCCCCTCACTTCCAGTGTGGAAGCCCAGGGATACCCACACTGAGTCCAGGAATCTGGCCCCAAAGTGCTTTCAACTGGCTGTCTTTCTAGCAACCAGCCAGCAGTCCAAAGCAGAAGCAGCCCGTAGAGCGGGTTCTGCTCTGTGGCCCTGAATCGTAGGGTTGAGCCAAGCACTGTTCCCAAGCTTCCCATGCACACAAGATGAGAAACTGGGCTTCTGATCTCCAGAGAACCCACCACAGCAACGCCCTGAGCCCAGAGCACACTGACAGGACTGGATATGCGTCACCCACAGGGCTAGATCCTGCCTGCAGCCTTCTTGACAAGCTCATGGCCTGGGCCTCGGGTATGCCCCATCCACCCCTGAGCAGGGACATGTGAGCATGTCCTGCAGCAAACCAATCCCTTGTATTCAGGAAGCCCAGAAGACCAATGCAAGGCTATGCTTCTTTCAACATTTTATGATAACCAGAAAACGAAGAACATCAAGAAGACTTCCGGAAGCACCCTTTCTCGAAGAGTCTTGGAAGATAAGGTGGTGTAACCTAGCTACTAGCAACGAAACTTGAAAACCGCACACTTGTTCAACCCCTTCCTTCCCAGCCCTTCTCCTGCATTACAGGTCCTCGTCGTCAAAGGTCTCCAGGCACTTGAGCAGCATCATGTCCTCATCGACTGGAGGATCTGGTTCCTGCAAATCAGAAAACAGGAGGAGATTTGGCTTCTGCCCCATGCTTGGAATTTCCAGGCACCCATAGGAGAGGGAAAATCTTAAAGCTCCATCTAAATACCTGTCTACAGAATGTGGTGATGCACACACCGATGGACCATGACACTGGCTTGAAGGAAAGGAATACGATGGCCTTTATTTGTAGCACAGACTGTTAGGAAAAGAGCTAAGGGCAAAGACCCTGTGACAGTAGGCAGCCACTGTGTTAGAAAGAACACGTACATATCCATAGACTGGCTGCCTTGGAAAGGGTCTGCGGGAAACCTGTCCTGGCAATTGCCTCTGGCGCAAAGCATGGGCTCGTAAACAAGGTCAATTTTATTTTTCATTTTACATACCAACCCCAGTTCCTCCTCCCTCTCCTTCTCCCATCCCCCTGCCTCCCACCCTTCACCCCCATCCGCTCCTCAGAAGGGGTAAGGTCTTCTTCCTCGGAGAGTCAACAAAGTCTGCCATGTCAAGTCAAGGCAGGACCTACCCTCCCTGACCCCCCCCCCCCACATCAAGGTCATAGGGAGTGGGTTCCAAAAAGCCAGTTCATGCCCCTGGGATCGGTCCTGGTGACACTGCCACCCCCCCCCCCACAGATCATGTCTCATAACTGTCACCCACATTCAGAAGGTCTAGTTCAGTCCTATGCAGGATTCCCTGTTGCCAGCCCTTAGTCCTCGAGCTCCCTCTAACTTGGGCCAGTTGGAGAGACTAAGATTTAATTGAATATCTTTTAATAAGTTTTGAATTTCATACCATGTAGATATGTTACCTATTATGAAAAGAAAGAAAGAAAGAAACTTAAAAAGAAAGAAAGAATACTGTGTTTAGCAAAGGCTTCTCACTCTTTGCAAAGATGCCAGGCAAATCCCTCAGGATTGTAACATCTCTTCCCTTAAAATTAATTCCAGGGTTTTTGATTTCCTTCTCTCTGCCAAGCAGAAGATGACTCCTGCTGTTTGGTAGCCCAGCAGATCAGAGCAGATCTGGTACCAGTCAACCATCTAAGGGGAGCCTTCCCTGGTCCCAAGGGTAATAGCTAGATGTGAGGTTTGAGCTCTGCAAACGCCCATCCCTACCCCTGCTCTACAGACGCTGAGCTCTGTCAGAGCCCTCAGAAGTTGGGGCAAGGCATAGGAGCCACCAAAGCTTCCAGAAACAGCCCAGCTCTGCTAAGGCTGTCAGAGCTATGGCGTGAATCTGTGTTTTAAGCCGCTATTTAGAGAACGCAGTGGGAGGCCCACAGAGCCTCACTCACCCCCCCCCCCCAAGGTAACAGGGGCAGTACAGAGCTAGCTGGAGGTGCAACTTGGAAGAGAAAGGAATTTCCCTTTACATTCCAGTCTCATCCACAAGGCTTCCTGTACCACCCCTCTTCAAAACACAGCTTGTAAGGTCCCGTCCTCATAATGCTGAACGAGGGAGCCGGTGGTGGCACCAGGAATCTGGATGGCTAATGGGATCCCAAGGTGATTCACACCTGGGCGGGGTGAAGTTCAAGCCCTCTGCCTAGTGTGGACTCCTAATCGCTGTCCTTTGCTTCTACCATGTAGGCTGAGTCTGTTTTTAAGCTCTTGGCAAAATGTACGAACATAACTACAGCCAACAGAAGAGTTGCTATGGGATGGGCGGGCACTGGGGATCGGTGGGAAGTAGAGAGGGGACTGCAGGGACAGACACCGGCCCCAAGTCGGGGCTGAAAGTGGTGGGAGCAGGGGAAATGAGGAAAAGACATCAGTGTATGGAAATAACGCCTTCGTTGAAAACGTTTGCTACTGTTGTATTACTATTTTAGACAAACAGCTTTCTTTATCTTTCTTGTTTAGCCATGGTGCATCTGAAAGGGCCTGTCTCCTGGCGGTTTCTCCCCCATGAGAGTTTCAGGGATGGCCTACTAACCAAGGTTCCCCTTGACTTATGTCACCATCAGCTACAACATCAGCTTTCAGAAGATGATCTGCAATATTACCGCAGTCACAGAACACTAAAATACTCTACACAGTACTTATGGGTGACTGCTGGGAGCCAGCCCCTGGGAGCAGATCCTGTTGTGGAATATGAGTTGAATATTTGTGTTACATTTGTTTACCCAGCCGAACATTTGTTTGACGATGCAAAGACATGTTGTGCATTCTTCTATGTTGCACTGGTTTAACTCTGTGAAGTCGTGTTACTTTGCCTAAAACTCCTGATTGGTCTGATAAAGAGCTGAACGGCCAATAGCCAGAAAGGAGACAGGATGGGTGGGGCTGGCAGGCAGAGAGGATAAATAGGAGGAGAAATCTGGGAGGAGGAGATCAAGGAGTGAGGAAGGAGAGGTGGATGTCGGGAGCCAGCTGCCCAGCTCCACAGCAAGCCACGGAGTAAGATGTGAAGAAAGGGCTAGCGAATAGAGAAAGATGAAAGCTCAGAGGCAAAAGGTAGACAGGATAATTTAAGTTAAGGAAGGCTGGCTAGAAACAAGCCAAGCTAAGGCCAGGAATCCATAAGAATAAGCCTGTGTGTGATTATTTGGGAGCTGAGTGGTGAGCTCCCAAAGAACAAAGAGGAAAACAAAACAAAAAACAAACAGAAAACAAACCAACTACAGCCCTGTCATGGAGGACATCCCTCTGTCTCTTCAGGTCCCTGGTGTCCCCCATTGTATGGGAGACGCTGGACTGAAGGCGAACGACCTTGGGAGAAACGAAGAGCCTGAAAGCCCCCCTGGGGGGTGGGTCGATGTCAGGCTAGGCTAGAGTAGCCCTCCTGCCCTCCCCGCTAAAGGACCTTTTTTATTCTCTTAAAGGAGTCACTGTCCCCACTCTGTCTTACCTGGTTCAGTGGAGTGTTAACACAGCAAAGGCCTTTGAAGAACTCGATGATTTGCACGTAGAGCTGGAATTTCTCCTCTAGATTTTCTGGGTTGCAGTTGGCAAACACAGAGCTGAAAGCAGAGGAAATAGAAACCATTTAGAATCTCAACATTTCACCCATGCCCTAAACACTGGCTCACTGTGCAAACTTTAAGGAGCAGGTTGAATTCTCAAGTAGCCCAGGACTGTCCCTGAAATGCCGTGACTGTGGCAAGCCTGCCCCTGGGGTGTTAATGTAGTGTCCTAAGCTGTGACTTCCCTAGTGAAGGAATGAGAGCCCCGTAGCTCCCAGTCAGGCTCCTGCAGCAGAGCTTATGGTTCCAGGTCCATGTGAAGCAGCGTGGGGTGTTCCTAGTGTGAGTTCAGCCGGACAGAGGTCCTCACTCAGTTTTCTTCCCATGGTACTCAGCTTTGAGGAAACACTAGTTCTATTTACTGGGCTTCTTCCTCTGTGTCTTTAGGAGCAGCCCCTGTGCAACTGGTGCTTTGTAGCACAGAGGCCGAGTGTCATAGGACAGGCCTGCCCTCACTTCTTCCTGGAAGGGTGTTTCTTAGCCCAGGAATCCTTTTCTATGGAAGGCAGGAAAAGGCATTTTAATAGGTGATTTTTGTTTGGTCATTTTGTCCTTTCAGTGGAATGAGGACTTCTTAACGCTGCTTGACAGTGTACTCTGGAAACTTCTTGACAAAGTCGTTTTTACAACCTAAACCCAGTACAGAAGTAAGAGTATTGGGTCCTAGCCATTCGCTGCTGCTGATCTCTGCACATAGGTGAAGGGCTCACATGGCAGAGCATCCTGCTTCTCAGCTGTGCTGTGTAAGGATGTGTTGGGCCTGAAAAGGCCCGGACGCAAGGCCTAGTGGAACTTCCTGAGCCTGGCTAGAGTCTGGCCACCTGTCTTTGGCCTATCACTTCCGCATAGGAGTGACTCAGCAAAATTGCCTCTGCCCAGCTACTGCTGACATGGTGAAATATTAGTGGCCCTCACACCTCACCCCATCCTGAGGTCCCACCCTCTTTCTCAACGCTATATAGGCGCATGCCAGATGCAAAGAACCGAGCTCCTGCTTCGACAAGGCTCCCAGTTCAGTGTGTGTTTCTCCCCTATGAGTTGCCCGCACTCATCATCCTGCTCCGAGAGGAGACCAGCTAAACGGGCTCCTCCACAGCCCTACCCGCTGGAGGACCCAGCAAGGATGGACGGGTAGTGTGGCTGTGACAGCCCAGCCCAGGCACAAGCACAAGCAGGGCCAAGATACATGGCGGGACGAGTTTCCGCCTAGGGGTTATGTGTCTCTCTGTAGGATGGGGAAGAGTAGCTGCAAACACCTCAGGACCCAGGCACTCACGTGTACACACACACACACACACACACACACACACACACACACACTCGAGCTAACAGTCTCACATACGCACACTCATACAACTTCACGTATGTACACATGTACCTTACAATCACCCAGTTGTACACTCATACCCACGTACATATGTTACCACCTTCCTCACCTGATGTTAGACATATGCTGAGTCTCATTCTTGTCCAGAAAACTTGCCACATCGAAAGCATCTTCAAAAAGGACCTGGAAGAAAGCACAGCATTGCCTGGGTCAGAACCGCTGCTGCTGCAGTCCGCTGCATGCCCTGAGCTGCTGGGCCAAAGCACATGCATGTCAAATCTAGCCCAAACTCAGGGTTTCTGCTCAGTGGTCTTCCCAGGGAGTGACTGAGGGAGGAGAAAGAACTGGGCACCGCTACCCTCTCCTCTCTAAAAAACCTGGCAGCAACCAGATATGAGAGGCCAAAGCCAAGCCTCAATTTACAGCAAGGGAAGGCCCAGGCAACCGTCCAAACCTCCCAGGTGGAGATCCGCTCACGTCTAGGACACACAGCCCCCATCTCATCCTGGGAAGCTGAATACAAGGTAAGGCTGCGGGACAGCTTTGCCGAGGCCGGTCATTCACTTCCAAGCTCAGCAAGGTACTTCTCTCAAACTCTCTTATAAACAAGTCACATCTGCTACAGTCAAACGTCTGTCCATTCCAAAACTCGTAATATCTCTGACTTACTTGGGCTTTAGGCACTGGAGAAATGGCTCAGCGGCTAAGAGCACACAGGGTTCTTGCAAAGGACCCAAGTTTGGTTCCCAGAACTTACCCTGGGCAGTTCACAACTGCCTCTGTGCCCAGCTACAGGGGAGTCTGATGTCTTTTCCACTGTGTAGGCACCTGTACCCATGCACACACGCACACACACTTTCATAAATAAGAATGAAATAGTAAAATCCTCCCTCCTTCCTCCTCCCCTCCCCTCTAATGTGAAGACATGGGAAGATGGACCTGGCAAAATGTCAGCACAGGAACTGTGATTTTCTCAGCCCCAGAACCATGATCAGACAAATCGTTTGTTGTTAATTTCCCTGGTTCGGGGATTCTACCACGGCACTAAAAGGGCAAGATGCTGTAGACGATGTAGGTGTAGAGCTGCTGTAAAGATTATGTATGTATGTATGTATGTATGTATGTATGTATGTATGTATGTATGAGGTATATATGTATGATGTATGTATTATGTATGTATGTATATATATGTTATGTATGTGAAACTCAAATACTTTGGCGGTATTAAAGGTTGTCCGAGTCACAAAAGAACTTCATGAACATTGGGAGTTCTGAACCAGGAATAGGTGGATTAAAAATCACTTAGTAACCATCCCGCCAGGGATGCTCATTGCTGACACACTGACCTATTTCTCTGCAGTCCTCTCCTTCATTGTGTTATAAGATAAAAGTTACGGTGATTAATGATATGAGAATACACTTCCAATGTAGAATCTTGTCTTCATATAGTTTTTTGGCACTGCTTTTTCTGAATTTGTGTTCCAACAGAATACTAAGTGTTCAAACAAGTGTGATTTGCACTTCAGGTCGGGAGAGCTAACACATAAAAATACAGGGTGCTGAGGTAAATTTGAATTACAAATAAGAAGACTTAACACTCTGGGTTTGGCATAAGAAGGCTCCAAAGGCCGCAGGAGAAATACTTGACTGAAAAGTGTGAGTGGGTCCTGCTTCCTTTTCTCCTGCCCCCCCAACACAGCAGCCCCCTGAGGGTTCACTGGTCTGCCAGGGGTTCTCACTCTACCCAGGGTACACACTTCCTTCCCAGAGGGCAAGCATCTGCTCTACAGTCTTTCTCGGTTTGTCCCCCTGGAACATAAGCCTTTGAGGCTTCAGCCGTCCAGCTAGTTTTCTGCACACATTCGGTGTCTTCTATGACAACCCTGATGTCCCTTCAAAGGCAATCAGGAAAGGGCCATGGAACGGCCTGTGTCTATCAATTTGCTTTTCCTTCCCACAGATCTGAGATAGAGTTCCCAGATAGTTAGCCCCCAGCTAACCTCATATAACTAGTCCACACATGGTAGGCCACTCGCTGTCCTCACATACAAAGCCTTCTTATGAGTCACCCACTGAGGGGCATTAACAAAGTCAAGGCAGGGGCTGGAGAGTTGGCTCAGAGGTTAAGAGCACTGGCTGCTCTTCCAGAGGTCCTGAGTTCAATTCCGAGCAACCACATGGTGGCTCACAACCATCCGTAATGAGATCTGGTGCCCTCTTCTGGAATGCAGGCAGAACACTGTATACATAATAAATAAATCTTAAAAAAAAAAGGAAGGAAGGAAGTCAAGGCAAAGGACTGTTGAATCACCTCTTCCGGAGTAGAGTCCAGTGAGCAGCTGGCTCCTTGGCTGTCCATCCCACTATCCTTCACACTGTCCTCTGCACAGGCCAGCTCTAGGCAGGCCTCTGCGAGGTCTGAGAAGGTGGTACTCTGCTGCTCCCACACCTGCAGGAGACTGGCCTTCTTCTCCTCAGAGAGGGTCTGCCACAGGTGGGAGATGGCGGCGGAGACGATGGGGATTATCTCTTCCTGTGGGGAGATGATGCTGTTCATGGTCAGGAGGTCCATCGTCTGCTTGTAGAAGTTGAGGTACCTGGAACAGAAGTGGTATGTCCCTCAGATCTGTAGCTGGGTCCTTATGGCCAGGAAACAGTTCCTTGGTTTACCAACAGCATGGTTCTGTCTCTGCCTTTGCCCGGCCCCGGAATGCAGAAGTCATCTTGAGGGCCATGGAGAACACACATTTATGCCTCTCCAATTTCTTCTGCTCTAAAACTCTCTGCCTTGTGGAAGGTGTGGCTGCATTAACTCCCTCCACTCTGGAACGCTCTGAGGCTATGAAATAGCCGGCCTGCCACACTCCTTGAATTTTGGGCTTGAAAGACTCAGCTATGGAGGGTGTCTCCTTGTCTCCACTCCATGCCAACATGGCTGCTGGGGGTCTTACGTCTGTGGAGGAGGCATCAGGAGTCTGAACAAGCCAGCCACTCTCTTTTGGTGAGTGCAGGTGTGGCCTGGTTCTCTACCTCCAAAAGCAGACTCCTGAGGTGTGTATGTCATAGAAGGAGGGGTGAACACTAGAAATCACGCTCCGTCCACATGGGCCCCAAGTAAATACCCACTCTAATAAAAACCATGGGCTTGCTACACAAATGTAACTTTAACGGTGTTTGCCCAGCCCCTCGGCTAGTCTCCATGGGGCACCTCCCACATGCAGACCCTGGAGTTGGGTGGTTTGGGACCTGGTTTGAGTTATGCATGCTTGGCGGCCACCACACAGGCCAGCTGGAGGGTCTGTCCCCTTCCCCACAGAATCCCCTCGGTCGGTAAAGCATCCCACCCCGCCGAGCACACCGTTCAAATTCCAGGAGGTCAGGCAATAGAGTGCTAGAGGGGTGTGAGAGATCGACTTTTTTCTCCTCTTCATCCCCTTCCTCCTCTTCCTGTTTCCCTTCCTCCTCTCTCTCTTCATCATTTCCTTCCTCCTCAGCATCCTTCCCAACGGCCTCATTGGGGCACCATGGCGGGGAGCTGTTCTGAGGAAAACTGTTGAGGAGCACGCTGTGGGGAGAATACAGAGCCAACGGAGTGCTAGACAAATATCGCCAGTGAACACAGACACATACATTCACAACGCAGTTTTACTAACTATGTAGATAATAACCAAGCAGACCTTAGGGTGCATCATTTGAAATTCAGTTTACCATATCCTCAGGGTACAGGGGAAAGCTCCCAAGCTTATCTCATCCCTCTGTGAACAAGAAAGCAATAAGGCCTGTGTGGAGGGAGAGTGAGGTAATTCTTTCTTCTTGACTCGGTTTTTAAGGTCTGCACATGGTGTAACTTGACTTTTAATAAATTTTTCCCACTAGGAAAACATAGCTAATATTTAATATTATGTTATTAATTACTATCAAATATTAATTTATCCAAGGACATGTACTTAATAATCATTTCCTATAGTCTATAATACACATTCATTGTTAAAAATTTGGAAAACAGGACTGGAGAGATGGCTCAGTGTTTAAGAGCACTTCCAAAGGGCCCAGGTTCAGTTCTCAGCAGTTCATAACCCTCTATAACTCCAGTCCTGAGGATGAAGCACCCAGGCTCCAGGTATAATGTATGCACATGTGTACCACACAGACAAACATGCAGGCAAAATACCCATATACATAAAATAAAATTAAAACAAAGTTAGGCATTTGACTTAAAAAAAATGAAAATTTGGAAACCAGAGGGAAAAAAGGCACAAAGAAGAAAATAAAGCTTCTAAGTGTTCACACCAAAAACAAACAAGAAAGCCATGAGCTACAATACTTCAAGGAGCATGTTTTGGTAGGCTGTAACAGCAAGTGGTTTGTAGTCTCTCTGGGATGGGTTAACATGGCTTGCACTCATCAGAGGTCAACCTGGACATATATCACGCCATTGGAGACGGACATGCCATGGGGCCACTGGTTGTCCCCCATGTCTAAGAGGTCGTCAGAGCCGATCTGGAGCCTGTGGGTTCCGTGCATGGGAAAGGGCACTATGTCCTATTATGACAGAGATGCAGAGCAGAGACTACCTATACAACTTGCATGAAAAGCACAGGCAGCGAGAAACTTAAATGCAAAACTTGACTTCTTTTATGCTTTGGGTATAAAGTCCCCCTCCCTCTTCTCTCAAAAAGTCTCATGTGTTGAGGGCTTGGTCTCTGTCGGTGATGCTATTTTGGGAGTCCTGGGACTGTAAGCTTGTAGGACTTAGCTAGATGAAGTGGCCGCTGGGGTGGGGCTTTGGGGGCATCTTGTCCCTGGCCCCTTCTTACTCCTCCCTTTACCTTCTGTCCTCTCCCTCCCACATAATCCTGCTACCATGATATCCTGTTCAAGCAGCCATAGACTGAATTCTCCCCAAATGTGAGCAAAGCAAAGGCTCCCTCCTTTGAGTTGTCACCTCTGGGATCTGAGTCCCACCAATGAGAACAGGAGTAACAGGAGAAAGACATTGCTCTGTTTAAGCTTGACTGCGACCCCAGCTGAGACCCTTTCATATCTGTAAGACCCATCTTTCCCCTAAGACAAGTCAAATTTGCCTTGCATTTCCATGAGATTTAAAAAGGCCAGGATTAGTATTTTCCTATAAAGTTGATATGTATATCAGCTAATATAAATAATATCACACACTCTCTCACACGCATGCACCCACGCATGCACATGCGTGCATGCCACCCCACCCCACCCCCGCCCCCATGGATACATGGGTAAACTCCATGATATCATTTCTCTAAAGCAGTCTGGAAAACTAAAAATGCCAGACGGATGGATAGCCTTCAGAGTTAACCGCTGAGAGGTGAGATGATACAGTTTCATACTTTTCCATACTTTTCTGATTTCTGTAATAAGCATTTAGGAAGAAATGTCTAAGCCATGTTAAAGGAGAACAGAGTTCTCCCCCAAATAAGACAGCTGTGGTGGGCGAGCAGCAACCCTGCCGGCCTTGTTTCATGAAGGCCGCTGTACCTCAGCACCGAAGGCTTCCAGAGAAAGACAGCAAACTCCCTCCTGGTGCCCGCCAGGTCTTACCTGTCATCCTCAGAGTACATTTTGGCATATGCTTCCTTGACCTCCTCTAGGCTGCTGGCATTCCCATCCTCCAGGTTGAAGGATCCTATCAGGGAGGCGAGGGCAAGAGTCATAAAGAGAAAAAGCAGGCCCTTTGGGTCTCTCCTGCCTGTCTGGTTCAGGGAGCCTTTGGAGGGGCATGAAAAACCCTGACCTCCCGGATTTCAAGAGTGAAGGGTCCTTTTCCACTTCTACCCCAGGATACGAGGGAAAGCTCAGGAGAAGTACTGGTTTACTTCCTCTGTGGTCTCTAAAGCTGAGGTCAGGTGTCTTCAGCAGTGCCCCATTACGGAACTCAGTCAAAGCTACCCAGCCTGGGGACCCTTGCCCATGCTTCCAGGCTACAAGTGCCCTGGAACAAGGGCCATTATGGCCCAAGCACAGTGCCCGATATACTGTGTGCTCCTAATATGAACCTGTTGACTTTGTGTAACCCCATTTGTGCCTTCAATGGAAAACCTGAGCCAGCCTTCTCTGGGGAGAGGTCTCTTGCCTTTGAGCTTCAGCAAATTATCCAGGGTTTGCTCCAGTTCCTGAATATGAATCTTCGTCTTATTCAGTACCTGCCACTGAGGACATAGACATTGTTGAAAGCACAGCCTTTCATCACTGCAGGGACTATTTTCTTTCCGGGACCCAGGAAACCCCTTCCCAGTCCAAGGCCACAGTCCCATCCCGGCCTTGTCTGTGGAGTGGACAGGAGGTTTGTCCCAACGCACAGAAGGCACTGGGATGCATTCGTAATGCGTTTGTATTCGAGAAATGGATGCTCACTGAGATACCAGAGAATTTGGAAACAAGTTGTGTTTGGAAAACAACTGCCATGATTGTAGAGTAATGGATGTCTGCACAGGCAGCTCGCAGGTGGACGCTGATAAGGAGGCTCAGTAGGGCTGAATGTCAGCCTCAGGCTCGCACAAAGGCCACTAGATTTCTGCTCAAGTTGCGACCAGTGCAACTCAATATCCTTCCCTCGAAATGTTAATTTGCTAAATTCGTATACTTCATACAGCTAGGCATGGCGGCACATGCCTATAATCCCAGAACTCAGTAAGTACAGCCATGAAGATATCAGAAGTATAAGGTCAGTCGTAGTGAGTTCAAGGCCAGCTTAGGATACAGGAGGCCCTGTTTCAAAATAAAAGGGGGTGGGGGAACAAATAAAATAATTAAACACTTTTTATGTGGTCTAAGCATATTTCATGTGATCTAAAAATAGCAAGTGTTCTGTGAATTTGAACTCAGAAGTTTTCCCTCCCCACCCCACCCCCTTTGTCCTATACACCCACTGTCCTTGTCCTGGGACTCATGGACTGTCGGTCAAAGGATTAGAAACACAAGGGCACTCTGTGACTTGACCTTAGGACAAGATGGTGCTCTGGCTACTCTGGTCTAAACATTAGTGTTCTTGGTACAGACGTTGAACCTAACCCTTATTTGAAGATAACCAAAGGTGGCGTTTTTGGGGCAATTGTTATGAGAGCAGACACTGCATGTATGAGACTAAACCCCGAGATATGAGGCCCACGGGAGCTTTCCCCCTCTTCCATGTGAGGACATGGCTGGATTGAACGTTAAACGAAACAGACATGCTAAACACTAAATCTGCGGGCACCTGGAACTTAGACAGTCTAGCCTCCAGGGCTGTGAGCAATGCATTTCTAAGGTTTATAAATTTCCCAGGATGGTGTTTGGTCACAGCAGCTACAAAAATCTGTGGCATTGGCATTTTGGTCCAGAGACAGTGAGTGGCCTGTCTAGGCTCAGCTGGACCTCAGCCCTTTCCTTGCCCCCTTCTCTCTTTTTTTTTTGGGGGGGGGACTCCTGTAGCCCAGTGTAAACTCAAACATATTGCATATCCAAGAACGACCTCAAACTTCTGATTCTTGCAGAGTGCTGAATTTACAGGTGTGCATCACCATGCCTGGTTTTATAATGCAGGAGATGGTACATGCTAGACAGACTGCCACATGAGACACACCCCACCCCAAACGTCTTCTTATACTCTTGCTGCATTAGGGAAGCCCGGCATATTGATATTTCTTCCTGAGTATTTTTTAAATATATAATTTATTTCTGTTTTGTGTTTATGGGTGTTTTGACTGCATGCACGTATGTGCCAGGGTGTCAGAATCCCTAGAACTGGAGTTACAGGCAGGTGTGAGCTGCCATATGGGTGTTGGGACTTGAACCAGGGTCCTCTAGAAGAGCAGCCAGTGTTCTTCAAAATTGAACCATTTCTCCAGTCCCTTCCTTTCTATTTTAAACATTTATTTTATGATGGGGGGTATGCCACAATGACAGCTTTCAGGGACTCTTTTTCTATCAGGTGAGTTCTGGGGATTGAACTCAGGTGGCAAGCACCTTTACCTGCTGGACTCTCCCTCCTGCCCTTTAGAACGCTTTTACTAGGCCCACTTTCTTAGAACTTTTGTTTTGATTGAATTATCTCTCCCTTCCCCCCAAATCTCACCAAAACAACAACAAAAAATATGTGAAGTCTCCACCTCTGGCAGCTGTGCCAGTAAGATAACCATGTTAAAATGGAGCCTTCGGACTGGCTCCTGATCCAATATGATTGACGTCTTTATGAAAAGGAGAAATGTAGACAGAGACAGAACAGCGCTACAGGGAAAAGATGACATGAAGTCAGGGGGACGTGGATGTGCGGCTTGTAGTGCCACTACAAGTCAAGGAATGGCAGGAATTTCTGGAAGATGCCAGAACCTAAGGGAGACATAAAGGATTGTCCCCTGAGGCTGCCAGAGGGAGCAGAACCCTGGCCTTGGATTCCCCAGCCTCTTGAAGCACCCCTCCCCATGTTTGCGGCCTTGCTGTGGCAGCCTTGGAGAACTAAGAAAACCTTGCCACACATCAGTCTCACAGAGCGACTTTCGCCCAGATTGTCCCTCTGGTAACCAAGAAAGAAAGAAAACAGCAGACGCCTGGATTCCCAGGCGGATCAATGCGGGACAGTTTAGCCTTTCAGAGCCTCGGTCTTCTGGTCTGTAAAATGACGATGATGTGAGCAGAGATGTGGGGAATGAATAACTCACTATCCTGGGAAACGGCGGTGTGACGTCCGGTGTGAGTCTTAGGAAACCCATCAAGATCTACAAGGAAGCCGTTAGCATTTCCTTGTCCAGCAGGCATGGGGACTGAAGGCCAGAAGTGATCTGCCTCCATGCCCTGAGACCAGTCAAGAGCCATGGTCTTACCAGCTCTTGCTGGTAAGCATATGAAGTTCAGAGTTTGGAGGTGCGAATGGGTCTTCTCCAAGTTTAGCCGCACGCCTTCCACTGTAAGGCCCCGGGTGCCTGTTTTCTGTTTGCCGGTCCTGCTAGTCTGTGAACACTTCTCCATTGGTCACTGATGAGGACCTTAGGTCTCTATGCCCTTCAGAATCACACGCAAGCTTGTCTTCACTCGGTGGGTGTGGAGCGAGCTCTGGCCTGGGGAACCCTCTGCCTCCCAGTGGACAGCACATGCCTGCACCCTGAGCTGCTGAGCCTGGCTTTCTTCCATTACTCACCAGTACCCCACCCTTCTCCAAGGGCAGATGGGGGGGCCTCTGTGAGATCCCTGGCGCTGAAAACAGTCCACGTGCCAGTCGGAGCTTAAGCAAAATAGTCAGGTGTCATGCCACCTTTTAAAAATTTCCCCAGAGGCCTGGACTACTCAGGAGCTTCCTACCCCGGCCCCCAAACGAGAATCCTCTGGGAATTCTATGAACAGTTCACGGCTGCTTGTAGTGAGATACCCACCCCCACCCGCACCTGTTGCGCTGACCACGCCCATTGGGGGTGTGGGGACGGGTGTGGGCGTGACCTGGGGGGGGACTAGGTCTGGGGTCTCCAACCCCAGCTTGCTCAGAGACAGAGAGAATCCAGAGGCATCCTTGGGATGGGAACCTGCGGCGGTCATCTGTCTCTGGTGTAAGTGATTTCTCCCCGAATAAACAACCATCAGCCTATTCGTTTTCCCAGATTCTTATTTTCCACCCCATAGCTGCTGCTTTGCTGAAGGTACCGTCCTCGGAAGGAAGCCAGCTAGCTGGGAATAGGTACGGACTTCAAGTGTTCAGAGAGAGAGAGAGAGATGTGGGAAGTGCGTCAGGGGAAACAGCTTCTTTTTGGCTTGTCTTCTACTTCTACAGGAGGTCAAGTCGCTCCTCTCTCCCTCCCCCCCCCCCCCCCCCCGCCCTTCTGTTGAGAGGGTGAGGAAGTACAGGACTCTCCCCCATGGCCTCCTGTAATGCTCCTACAGTTATGAGCTTGCTTTTTCTACCGATACCCCATCTACCAGGCCCTTTTCTAATCTCTGCCAGCTGATTAATTAATTATTGTTAATTAGCAGCTAAAATGATAGCTGAGTAGAAAAAGAGCTGGGTGGAGCATGCCTGCCACCCTAACACTGGGGAGGCAAAGGCAAAGGGGTGTGATTTCAAGGCTGGCTTGTTCTCTGGGAAGTTCTAGGCCAGCCTGAGTGAGCTACATGGAGGCTGCCTCAAACATCAGCATCAATTACAAAAAGCAAAGTAGGAAAAGATCAGTGTGTACCTGAGAGCCCAGGGGGACAAAAACCCACAATGTGTACACATACATTGAGCATGCACACGAGTACCAGTGTGTGTTATAGCACATACATGTGTGTATACTTCTGGTGCTGTTTGTGTTTGTGCGTGCGTGCGTGTGTGTGCATGAATGTGTGTGCGTGTGTGTGTGCATGCATGCGTGTGTGCGCGTGTGTGCGTGTGTGTGTGTGTAGATAGATGTAAGGTCCTGGAGCGTCTGTTGGAGCCTGGCTGTTGCCCTTGTACAGGACATGCTAAGTCACCAAGTAACCACGTATCTCCCTCAGACCCATAGTTTCCCTTACGTCTGGCTGCTCTACTGCTGGTAGAGAAACATGGCTTTGGCGGTTTGCCTCTGGGCAGCAGGGCTCTAGGCCAGCCCTTACCTTAGTCTGCAGTCCCACCATGTGGACAATGTTTCCCCCCATCCCTAGGTCCCTGTACCTTTGAGGCTGTGAGGTCAGATTGGGAGTAAACTGTCTTCCTTAGGTTGTTGAAGAGCCCTGTTAGGGTGGCTCGATGGCGGGCCTGGGACAGGCGTCTGCGGGCCACCCGAGGCTCAAGTTGCCGCAGCTGAACCACTGGCTGGGGTGCCCCTTCATCATTGGGTTGGTTGCCTTCTCCAGGGGTGGCCATTATAATCTACAACACAATGTACCCCTTTTAGCACTGCATATTAAAGATACAGCATTGAGGAAGACAGACAGACAGACAGAAAGAAAGAAGGCAGCTCTCAAGGTAGCGAGTATAACCAAGACACACAACAAACCGTGGGCAAACCCCAGATCACCTATGGAAGTGTGGCCCCTAACATCACAGACCACTGGGGGCACTGAGGCTCACCCCTACAGCACACCAACACATCACAGGGACTCAGACATTCATCTCTGCAGCCTGAATCACACCTGAACCCCAAGAGCTGTCCCTCAGTCTGCTCCAAGCCTAACGGACTGGGGTCCCACACTGCGATCTTTCTAATCTTAAGAATGGCCTTTCTTTGGTATAGAGAGTGGTTACAAGTGGAAAAAGGAAAAACAAAACAAAAACAAAAACAAAGAAACTGGTCAAAATGTCCACTGCGGATCTGTGAGCCATGAATGTGCTCCTGCCTGTGAAAGCAAGCAGTTACATGACATTTCCCAGGGGCGCAGGCATGGCTTTACCGTGTCTCGCTTCTGTTACTCTGTAAAGATGACTGTGATACTGAGATCGGTGTCACATTTGTCACAGATGAGTTTACAGAGTAGGAGATGATTCTGAGACATATAAGGCTTTTCTTTTCTTCTTTGAAAGGTTTTCACACAGTCTAGGCTGGCCTCAAACTCACGATGTAGCTGAAGATCACCTTGAACCCTGATCTCTGGCCTCCACTTCCCTGGGGCTAAGATTACAGGTATGTGCCATGACCCAGAACCCAGGACTTCATGGATCTAGACAAGCATCCTACCAACTGAGCCACGCCCCCACCCCCTGGTATAGAAGTCAAAGGCTTTTACTTGGGCATTATCCATTCCACCTGAGGAGGCTCAGCCCTCACACAGGGAGCTCCTTCCCGTATCTCTGAGTAGAGGGGCTGCATCTCCTTTCTCTCTGAGCAGCCATGCCTAGTGCTGGGGACTAGGTTCCTGCTGGGTCCACTCTCCCCTGAGCTCAGTGATTCAGAACAGGGAATCCATAACATTGGTGAGAGACTGGCCACCTTTATCCTATGACAGTCACTTGGAGAGACACAGGGCTGGAATTCAGCTACAATTGTAACCAGAGGTGTGGCCTTAAAGAGGTGGTTGGTTACTCAGTCTATGGCAATATCAGAGAGGTCTAAGCCATAGGAGAGAAGCTAATAAGAGCTACTGCTTAGATGAATAGAAGGTAAATGCTACTAGAATCTTCCCAGGATTTTAATTTGTCTGACAGTCATGCCCAAACCCTCTTGATTGTAGGGGCCTGAAGCTTCCCAAGTGTCAATGCGGATGCCCATGGTTTGAGTTCTCTCTAAGATACAGGTTAGATACACTGACGCCTTCTCTTCTAAAAGCCCATGCAGGTTAAGGTGTGTTAAGAAATTGGCTCTCAGCAGTGTGAGGAGTAGGTCAGTAGAGAGGAGCTAATGGATAGCCTGGAACTCCAACAATGAATAGCAAACCACTTTGCAACACTTAAAACAAAACAAAACAAAACAAAAAAACCCCAAGGATTCCACAGAGATTGATTCTTCTCACTAACCCACCCACCCCCACAGATGAGATTCTGCTAAGTAGCCCAGAGTGACCCAGAATTCTCCTCCTGCCTCAGCCTCCAGAGTGCTGGCATCACAGGCAGGCACCGCCATCCCTGGCTCACTATGATCCTTTAACAGAAGAACGTTTCCTAATTCTGCCCAGGGACCTCCATTTTGCAGCCTGTCGTCATTTTTGCCACCTGTGACACTACCCGTCTCCGTCCCCAGCCCCGGTATCTATCCACCTAGAGCTAGCTTGTTCTCCGAGGTCCACTTTCGGTCTTAATTCATCCGAGGAAGCCACACTGGCTTCCAGCTTAACGCTGTCTTCCTAACGTGTCGATAAGACCCTTGGTGAAGAGCCATCTGTCGGGTGTTGGCAGAACCCTTCCGGTCGTGTAGCAAAATGCAGGCAGATGTAGTTTGTTCCGTCGGCCCTTTATGCCATGCCTCTTCCAGACGGAAGCAAAGCACCCTACTGACTGGGCCATGAAGACAAAAATCTCCCAGGCATGGGGAGGAAGGAGCAATGATTGAATAAGATGAGGGAAAAGAGGGTTAAGAGGGAACACCAGAAGAGAAGAAATAGCATTTTGGTTTTCTCTAACCATGAGGACTTGCTTGCATTCCAGGCATTCACCATGTCATGAGTTCAGTTCTTAGCAGGGTTGAAGGCCACCAGTTAGAGATGTGTTAAAGAGGCCATCAGAGCCAACACTGGATATTTGCTGCCTCAGAGAAGTGGAGGGAGATTATACAGGGCAGGAAAATCCCATTCTTACTAGGGAAACTGGGCATGACCAGAGAAGTGAATGAGTCTACACCTACGATGATCCAGGACGTAGGGAACTCAGTATGGAGAGAACATTTGAAGGGTAGGTAATATTGATTGGGTTGCCGTGGTAGTGATGGTGGTGGTTGTTTTGTTTTTGAGGTACAGCCTCAAAATTGTCGCTAGTCTTAGCCTCCCAGGTAGTAGGATTAGAAGTAAGTGTTTCTATGCCTAACTTACAATAATACTTACAATAATCCCAGACATACTGAGAGTCGTGGCTCATGGCTACAATCCCAAGTGAGAGCAGAAAGAATTCCAGGTCAGTCTGGACTACAAAGTGAGACTGTGTTTCAACAACTCCCAAACTTGGATTGTCTACATAGATCGATCGGTAGACTGCTTGCCTAGTATGCACAAGACACTGGCTTCGATCCCAAACACCACAGAAACACAAACCTTGGTGAGTGGCACTTGAGAGACAGAGGCAGGGCACCAGCAGTTCAAGATCACCTTTCCCTACACAGCAAACTCAAGGCTATCTTCAGCGATAGCAAAACCATCTCAAACAAGCAAATGAACAGCCTCTCTCTCCAAACCAAATAAAACACAGAACGAAACAAAAAGCCAACCAACCAACCAACCAATCAACCTAACAAACAAACAAACAAACAAAAAAAACACCAGCAAACTGAAACAAAACAAAACAATACAAAGATGCCATGGAACCCATTCTTTTATATTATAACCTTAAAAAAAATTAAAAATGAATACCAGGCGAGACTTTGCCTAAAATAAGAGATAGGAAAAAAGAAAGGAAAGCGAAGTCCAGGTGTGGCTGATGTGGAGACAAAGGCACAGAACTAAGGCCTGTGCTATACAGGGAGAGGCCGGCTAGATTGTGGACAAGTTTAAGGCCCGAGTCATCATGCTAGCTTTGTTAGCCAGCCACATGACCAGAATGGGCCAGGGAAATCTCTAGATCCCATTTCTCTGTCTGTAACCAGGAGCTAAAATCCCTTAACTAGACTGCAGTCTAAACTTGTGTTCGTGGTTGTGTGCCTAGCCCTTAACGGCTGAGCCGTCTCTCCAGCCCTGCTGTCTAAGCTTCAACACTTCACTTGGTCACAGTCAGGAATCTGTGACATCCAGAGCAAGAGACACAAGCCGTTCACGCGCCAGCAGGGGAATAGGGCACGAGCCACCACCTCTGCAGTGGAACTTCAATGACCAAAAATGTTCACTGAGCACTTGCCGTGTTCAAAGCCCATTCATTCTGGCAACAACGAATGTGCAAGACATTTAAAGAAGGCCTGGGTGTTAACATATTTCCCCCTCAAAAATTTACTGTTGAGTTATGGCATAGTGGGATCAACTGGCCAGGCCGTTTTTTTTTTTTCCCCGTAGAACAAAGCAAATTGGTGGCTTTTTGTGACAATTCAAAGTGCCATGGCCATATTTTTATAACCTCTCATCTGTAAATCAAAGCACACTTTTTGTTTCTCTCTTTTTTCTCTTCTCCCGCCCTTCTTTCTTTCTGACAGTCTCATTATGTAGCCTTAGATGGCCTTGGACACAGGATCCTCCTACCTCAGCCTCCCGAGTGCTGGGATTACTGATATATACCACCATGCCGAAGTCCAAAACACACCTTTCATAGCAAGATTTTCCTATACAAACTCCACTTAATACTAACCCAGAACTAACGTTTTACAAAGTTTCCCAAAGCCTGATGTGAATCAAACAAACAAAACCAACTAAACTAACTAAATGAATTAGATTTCTAAAAATTTCCTGAATTAAATAAAAATAAGCAGTTTCTTTTTTTTCCCCCAGGTTTCATAAAACGTTCAACTCTTGTAAGTTTAAAATATCCCTAAAAACATTTGATTGTGAGCCTCATTAGCAAATGAAAGGCAGAATGGTACAACATGCTGGATAACATATGTGGGTTTCCTTTGGTTCCATATACCCTTTTGACTGTGTGAAAAAAATTCAGTATCACGATCAAATATGAAGGAGTTGCACTGATAGGAGTCACAGGACACACACACACACCCTCTAGGAGCCGCGAGTGGCACACGTACACATGCTGTAGGAGTTGGGGATGACATGCACATACATCCTCTAGGAGTCGCGGGTGACTACACATGCATCCTCTAGGAGTCGCGGGTGACCATGACCACTCATCCTCTAGGAGTCGCGGGTGACTACACATGCATCCTCTAGGAGTCGCGGGTGACCATGACCACACATCCTCTAGGAGTCGCGGGTGACCATAACCACACATCCTCTAGGAGTCGCGGGTGACCACATATCCTCTAGGAGTCGCGGGTGGCACACACATGCTTTAGGAGTCGCGGGTGGCACACACACACATGCTTTAGGAGTCGCGGGTGGCACACACATACGCTTTAGGAGTCGCGGGTGGCACACACATACGCTTTAGGAGTCGCGGGTGGCACACACACATGCTTTAGGAGTCGCGGGCGGCACACACATACGCATGCTGAGGAAGTCGAGGATAACGCACACACATGCTCTGGGAGTCGTGGGTAGCCCGCACATACGCTCAGGAGTCACGGGTGCCGCACACATATGTTCTGGCAGTCTCGGGTGACACACAAACGTGCTCATATGAACGCA